AAAAAAAAAAAAAAAAAGAGGCTCTGTTGATGAGGGAGAGAAAGGTCTTTGTTACAGAAGAAAAAAGTCTACTGATAAATGTAGAGGAAATAACAGAATTTGAAAATCATAAATTTTCAATTTCTAATGAAATATATGATGTAAGCACAGATAATCAGTGCTTAATAAAAATTCTGAAACAAGAGAATAAAATGTCCTATCTACACTACTACACACTGCAAAAAGCACTGGGTTAGTAGGAAGAAAACCTAGACTCTAGTCCCAGTAGTGCTAGTTGGTGGTTCTGGAGTTCATACTTAAGTATCGAGTGTTTTCATCTATAAAATGGGATTTTCACTTACTCTGCTATTACACATGTAGTTACACAAAATGGGGTGATGAATACAAAAAGTGCTTATTGTTATTGTGCTACTTTAAAGCACCATGGTTTCTACTGTTGAACTATACTATTTGTCAACCAAGCTTTCAAAATTTAAGCAGAAATAGTTCAATTATTCTATTAGAAGAGGCTGCTGTTGTTGTTATGTGCCATCGAGTCAGACCCGACTCATAGCGACCCCTCCTTGGGTTTCTGAGGCAGTAGTAGATTGCCCAACCTTCCTTCCGAGGAGTGGCTGGTGGGTTTGAACCACCAGCCTTCTAGTTAACAGTCAAGTGCCTTAGGCACTACACTACCAGAGCTCCTATTAGAAGAGGCAGATTCAATTAATATGTTTACTTGTCTTTTCTAAAATTAAGAAAAGAGCCATAAGCAACTGGTAAGACATTAGTTTAAACTATGTCATCACAGGTATAATGTTTATGCTTTGAAAAAGAAGTGGTCATGTTGATCCTGCTGTGTCTTCCAATCTTAATTATCATTTAGATATAGAGTATTTGGATATTTCTTACCAGGTTCTGGAAGATCTAATTTTGCTCGTTTTAGTTCTGTCATAGAAATCTGAAGTTGCTCTATTACAAAATCATCTTCAAAGAAAAAATCTTTTGCTAGTGTCTCCTGAAGAAATTCTACAAGTTCTTCCATAGACAATCTCATTAGATGTTCTAAGAAAGAATGAGAGAAATAAAAATGCAGAGTGAACAGTTGAAAAGATAACATATTCCATTCTGATTAGTACTTTGGCGAGGGGCATAGCATACAACTTATATAAGGCACTGTGAATATCATTAAAACTCAGTAAGACAAAATTATTTTCTGATGTTAAAGCAGCCACAGAGAAAAGCAGGTATTCTTACCAGGGAAAAAAAGGAAAATACTGCCAAATACCTTCTCACTGGTTAAAGAATTAACTATATCTTAGGCATTAATATGAACCCCAGAGCAAGAACTTCTGGAAGACAAAGACACAGAAAGATCACCCCAGCAAGACATGAGTTCTTTCTGCTTTATTGACACGGAGCCTCAACTGCCATAGGAAAATGCACTTTAAGTCTGTATTTATTACTGTTTGTAAACAGTATTTTTTTTAAAAAAAACCCTGGATTATTAATTTTATTTGTGAATTGTATTTCTATTTATAAAACTAGTTTTACTTAAAAAAATTCAAACTACAGACACAAAATGGAAGGTGAAAATAAGCTAAGATCCCTCTACTCACCATTCTACAAGTGGGTGTGTATATGCATGTGTTTATATGTGTATCAATTTACAAAAACAAACTAAACTTTCTATGCTATTATACTCACTTTTCCCCATTCAATAATGTATCATGGACATCTCTCACTTCAAACAAATATGATTTTATACCATCATCTTTAATAGCTACATGAGAGTTCATTGTCTCTATGTACTACAATTTATTTAATTAGTCCTCTAATAATGGACATTAGGTTGCTTCTAATTTTTTTTGCCATTTAAAGCCATTCTGTGATGAAGCTCCAGGAATAATGTCTATAAATATTCTTAAAGGAATGGAAGGACGGATGGAAAGAAGGAAGCAGGAAAAGGAGGTGGGGCTCTCTTATGAGCTTCAGCTAACAAGTGGTGGTTAAGGTGACAGGTTTTGAAGCTTTGGTGAAGGAACTTCATTAGGTCCTTGAGCTTTGTCTCCCTCACCAAGAAAAAAATCCATAGCAACAGGCAAATTTTCCACAGTTTATTTAATCTAATGATATGGTAGCATATAAAGTAATTGCTATACTTTAAGTTTATTTACAAAAAGGTGAGGAAGATCTTGTCAAAAAAAAATCAATCAAGGGTCAAATGAGTAAAACATAATTTAAGAGGTAGAAGAGAGCTAGAAAAGTATGTTTCAACTTCTTCAGTATTTATGGAATATAGTAAACATATCTCTTAATAAAAATTCTATGTATTTGCCAGCACATAATCCAGAGAGGGGACGAGCTCTGATAGGACAGTGGTTAAACCACTAGGCTGCTAACCAAAAGATCAGCAGTTCAAACTCACCAGCCACTCTGTGAGAGGAAGATGAGGCAGTCTGCTTCTGTAAAGATTTACAGCCTTGGAAACCACATGGGGCAGTTCTACTCTGTCCTATAGGGTCGTTAAAAGTTGCAATCAATTAGTTGGCAGTGGGTTTGGTTGGTGGGTAATCCAGAAGGAGAAAATGGAAGTAAAAGGGTGGGCGTGATAAAGTGAATGACAGAGATACAGAAACACAAAGAGAGATTAAGAATGATTAAGAGAAAATTTATGTTGATGTATAACAGAACCCTGAGTCTTGTAATACAATTCATTGTCAATTGTTGTGTCTTGCTCCTTTGGTTTGTTAGGGTAATAAACTACAACACTTCTGAATCCTTTTCTTTAAAAGAGTAAACAATGTTGAAGTGTTTTTAAAGAGCACTTTCATTCCTATCTAAGGCTAGAATCTGGCATTATTTTCATGTAAAATGAAAAAAAAAAAACCTCACTGCCCTCGAGTTGGATTCGACTCATAGTGATCCCTCTTTGTGTTTCTGAGGCGGTATCACTATGGAAATAGATTGCCCAACCTTCCTTCCAAGGAGTGGCTGGTGGGTTTGAACTGCCAGCCTTCTGGTTAGCAGCCAAATGCCTTAGGCACTACACCAAGCAATCAAATAATATTAAAGCACCTGGCAGGTACTTAGAACACCAAGCACATGGGGGGGGGGGGGAGAAGAAAACAAAACAAAACATGACCCCATGCACTCAATAAGCTTATAATTCAGTGGGGAAGCGGAATGCTGTATGACCTGGATTAGAAATATTCTATCACATTCTAAAGCCTTCAATGACTGTCTTCTCTGCAGTTAGAAGAGGAGTCATATTATTTTTAAGGTTGAATTGAAACTTAAAGACAAATAAGGCTAATTGCATCAAATTATAAGACACTTTGAAATAGTGCAACTAAAGACTTTTTAAAGCCTTGCTGCATTTATGCAACTTTAGACATTGATTGTACTTGCCCCAGAGGCCACAATGCAGTCAAGCAGAGAGATGGATCTGGAGGTTCCTCATCTCTGGTCTACAGCTTGAGCTGTATGCCTTTTTCCTGGTGAAGGAAACAGTAATAAAAAATGTCCTCTCTACCCTTTCAAACTAAACGGCCTGATGCTTTTGGACTCCTACTGCAAACTTGAGATTCAGACTGATGAAAAGGAATAATGGGACCCAGTGGACGCAAATACATAGTAAGAATAATATTATTAGTGAAGATATCAAATTGCATATTGAAACCATCAATTTACTATTTAGTAAGAAAAAAAAAAAACTGATACAAAGAGAAAAGAATCAAAGACCTCTGCTATGTACTAAGCTTTTACTTACAAGAAAGCACCAATGAAAGTAAATTACCAACTGAAGACAGTATCTTCACTTATTTTTAAGAACTTTTAAAAAAACTACTAAAAGAAAATGAATTTGAGCTAGGGTGAGAGATGGGAAATAAGAGTTATAATGAACTTTGATTTCATAAAATATTAATAAACGTTTTCTTACTTTTGTGTAATTTTAAGATTGTATAAGACATAGCAGTAAGAACACGTTCTCCTTCAAATATGTAGATATCCCATATTCTTAGGTTTAGTGTAAATGGAGTCTGTAATTAAAATCAAAACAGAAATGAGGTTAACAATTTGCTCTCATCCTTTATTTATAATTTTATGATTTAGTTTTATAAATACTCACACGATCAAGAAAACACTGAAAGAACCATTTCATTGTGTAAAAACTCGTGTAGATTTCTTGAGAATCCTGAAAAAACAAAGACCTCACAATTTCTGGACTGTAGCAAACAAAAACATGACAACATATTACGTAAGTTAGGAAGGCTGTGGAGGCAACTGTCAAAGCGAAACATAAAACCATCCTAACATGGATCATGTCTAGTTTTCTTCTTCTTACTCTTTCCCTCTCCATTTTAGCTCTCAAAGTCCTAAGAATACATCTTTTCTTATGATCCAAACCAAAAAACCAAACTCACTGCCGTCTAGTTGACTGACTCATAGCGATCCCTCCTTGGGTTTCCAAGGTGGCATCTCTACGGAAGTAGATTGCCCAAGCTTCCTTTTGAGGAGTGGCTGGTGGGTTTGAACTGCCAGCCTTATTTTAACTCTTCAAAATATTTTACAGCAAAGTACATTTGTTTTACTAAACTGTGTTTTACGGTAAAAAATATATACCATTCACTAAGAATAGGTTTGTATGACTCTTATGATATATTTTGTGCAATTATAAAAACTCCAAAATTATTGACAAGACATGTATTTTTATAAACTATATTCTTTGTTTTTACCGGCTTCAAAGAAGAAGTTCGATTTTATAAATGAGGGCTGTGAGAGCAGTACGTCAGTATTAAATTTTACAAAACAAGTATGCATCGAACAACTGGAAATTATAAATGAAATAAACAACACTAAAAATTAGTAAGGAAACTGGAGCTAAAGCCTAAACTGAATTATTCCAGCTTCATTCTTGGTATAGGTGAGTGGAAGTCAGTGTCACTTCTACCTACCAAGTGTTGCTTAAGCTTGGAGAGAAACTTATTCAATATTTTTTCATGGTGTTCTTGAAACCTCAAGAGTTTAGGGAAACCATGGACAAAAAAGCCTGCAATACAAACATAAAAACAATTCTCTATCAAGAATAACAAATCTCAATTTTAAAATTCAACAGATTTCTTTCATTATAACTGTCAAAAGAAAGAACATCCAGTATGACCAAAATATTTTTCTTCCTCATCAAGGAAATAATTGTGTACACATTTTGGGTGATGAAACTTGTAGCCTAGTATTTGTTTGCTAAAGATCTCCTAAAACCTTGTAAAAATATAAAAGAACACAGAAAATTACCAAGTTAAATGGGAAACTAAGGAAGAAGAAAATAGAAACTGAAGTCATTTCTCAGGATTATCTCTAAGGTATTGAGTCAGATCCTAAAGGGCTAGATTCTTCATAGGTTATTCTAATCCTGAATATTTATTTGTTTTATTGCAAACATATTACATAACAAACATTTTATTACTCTTTTTAGGTCTACTCTAGCAGTTCCATCAGTATCATATTTCCTATTTTTTTTTTTTTT